AGATGCCATGATCTTAGTTTTCTAAATGTTGAGCTTTAAGCCAACTTTTTCAGTCTCCTCTTTCACTTTCATCAAGAAGCTCTTTAGTTCTTGTTCACTTTCTGCCATCCTCCTTCAAAAGGGCTTCAAAGCCACCAGGACTCCCAGGACTGTTTTAGTCAGTGCTCCAACCCCACGGCAGGCCACCGCTGACCCACGCCTCTGCCAGAGACTCCCGGACACTCCTGGGCAAGTCTGGCTCAGTCTCTTGTGGGGTCACTGCTCCTTTCTCCTGGGCCCTGGTGCAGGCAAGGTTTTGTTGTGCCCCCAAGAGTCTGTTTCCCCAATCCTGTGGAAGTTCTGTGATCAAATCCCACTGGCCTTCGAGGTCAAATTAGCGCCTCCAAAATACTTTATAAATTTAAAAATAATATTATAAAAAAGAAAAGCTTAAAGTCATGGATCAGAATTTGTATCTTAAGAAGCTAAAATGATGAATCAATTTAATAGAAACATGTAGAAGGAAAAAAAATTAAGAGCAGAAATCAATAAAATAGAAAGTAAGCAATAGAGAAAGTTGACAAAACCAAAACCAATTCTTTGAAAGGTTAATAGAAGTTGATAAATTCCTGACAAGACTATTGAGATATTAAAAAAAAAAAGAAAAATTGCTGATAGGGAATGTCACTGGAGGTCTTACAGACAGTAAAGGATAAGTAGGGATTTATGAGTAAGTTTCTCATAGTAACTCCAATAACATAAATGAAATGTGAAATGGACAAATTCTTCAAAAAGCACAACTTATCAAAACAGCCCCTAGAAGCACAGAAAATGTGAAAACTTTAAATCTATTAAACAAATTTAATTCATTATCAGAAACCTCCCCTAAAGGAAAACTTTCCTCCTAGGTGCTTTCAATGATATATTCTATCAAATATTTAAAGGATAAAGAATATCTATCTTATGCAAACTCTTTAATAAAATACAGGAGAAGGCAATGTTTCCTGACATTTTCTGTGAGGCAAGTATAACCCACATACCAAAATCTCACAATGAGATTACAAAAAAAAAAAAGAATATGAACTTAGACAAAAAATTCCTAACCAAGTAGGAACAAATCAACTTCAGCAATATCTGTGGATAATTTAATAAATGCTTATCCTTACCCCAAGCTTCAGTTATACCATCTTTCATATCTAACATAGAAAACCATGTACATATGTGTACAATACATAGGTAGGAAGAAATGAAAAGAGCTGAGAAGTCAAAGTTCATGTTGAGAAATCAAAGTGAATGTTTCAATGCCTATATTGAAATACTCATTGCAGTGTTTTTTGTAATAACAAAGAAATTTAAAGTGACCTAAATATTTGCTGGTTGAGAATAGCACTATGTAAGTATACTGTAGAATATTCACTGTGGTAGGGGAAAACTTGATATACTTCCACATTTAATAAGTTAGGTATCAAAAACACACTATTTATTGTAAAAATGAAAGTCTCAGAATGATACAAAAACAAGCTATAGAACTGGTGGAAAATGAAAAACGCTCAAAACACCATTTTATATTTTCAAATAGAATATAAATATATAGGCATAGTAATACATACAAAAGTATCTGGAAAGTGACACATCAAACTGCTAAGGGTTATTTTTGTGAAAGCAGAAAAGATATCAGGATTGGAGACAGATTAAGGTTGTATCAAAGGGAACTCCATATCATCTACAGGATTTTAAATTTAAATAACATTCTGAAATTAAAAATAACAGAGGTCCTGTATTACTATATAATTAAAAAGATTGATAAAATAATATTCCAATAAAATGATGAGAAGTGGGAAAAGAGAGGAGGGTTGAAAAAAAGAAACAGTACTAAGAATGTCATTAACTAAGTGAATGGCACATAAAAAAGCAAGAACTATATATGTACACTACCCCAAGTCACAAAGGTGAATGATGAAGGACTAAAAACAGCAATAAAAATGTATAGATAGGAAGAAATGAAAAGAGTTGAGAAGTCAAAGTGAATGTTTTCCTGATCTGTCAAAGCAAGAGTCAATATGTAAAATCCCAGACATTGTGATAAACTCAAGAATAAGAGTTGAAATTAATCCTCCTAAAAAATTCCATGGGGGATTCCATGGGGGCAGGGGACTTTGGCTTCATAATAGGTTCTTCTCTTACTTTAATTTCTTTCATCAGTATACACTATACATTATACATCAGTATACACTATACTATATATCACTATTATTTTGAATTTAAAAAGGTTACAAAAATTCAAATTCACAGCATTATGTATAAGGTCTTAATTTTCCTATATTTCTTTTTAGTGTAGTGATATGAAAGAAGGGATAATTAAATACTTGAAGAGTAAGATATCACCCTTTGTTTTACTTTTTTCTAAGTTTTTATTTTTAATAGACTCTTCATTTTGGAAGTTTTAGATTAATAAAAAAACTTCAAAGATAGTACAAGAGTTCTCATATCAAATTTTTCCTAATATTATCATCTTATAGTAGTATGTCACATTTAATAATTAATGAATCAATATTAATAGATTTGTATTAACTTAAAGCCATACCTTATTCAGACATCCTTAGATTTTACCTAATTTTCTTTTTCTACTTCAGGATCCCATGCAGGATACCATATTATATTTAGTAATCATGTTTCCTTAGGCTCCTCTCCACTGTCAGAATTTATTTTTGATGACTGTGACAGTTTCAAAGAATACTGGTATTTTGTGTAACTTCCCACATGTGGCATTTGTCTGATGTTTTCTTCATGGTTAGACTGGGGTTGAGAGTTTTTGGAAGGAAGATGCCAGTGGTATATTGACATTCTCATGATGTCATATCAAGGGAACATACTATCTGCATGACATTTACTGTTGATGTTAACCTTGATCATGTGGCTAAGATAGTATTTATCAGGTTTCTCCACTGCAAAGTTCTTCTTTTCCTTTTTTTCTTTGGAAAGCAGTCACTATGTGGAGCCATACCTAATGAGCAAGGAGTTATTATGATCCATATCCTTGAGGGCAAAGTGTGTGCATAAATTATTTATAATTCTTCTGCAGGGGAATGTTGTCCATTCTCCATAATATACTCATACAATATACAAAATATACTCATGTATATTTTATACTTTGAGTTATAACCTAATACTTGGGGGGAGGGGGGTGAGGGAACTTCATTGAACACTTTCTGTATAAGTAACTTTGTCAGAACCATGGACAGTTCTACATGGACAGTTCTTTTTCTCTTGTTAATGGAAACTCACACTATAAAAAAATAAGAATAGAGATGCTTTAATTATCAGATAGCTCTTGGAAGGCTGCCATGCAACCTCCAACCAGAACAGTGAGACACCCAACTAAAACAGCTCTGATCTCATCACATCCAGTTGGCGTTTTGAACTAACATGACAAAAATCATGTGCTGCTGCCACAGACACTAATCTAAAAGGTGGCTGAGATCTTACTCTTACTGATGAAACTCCCTTTCCACTTTTGTCATTTTTAAGATGATGCCAATTGATTAGACAAAAATGAACCAGGCCACTTTTGAACTTGCAAATGTAAAATTTTCCAATTTGAAATAAAAACATCATGGCATTTCCAACTCTGCATGGTGAAGTCCCAGGCTGCTCTAGTATCCTTGCCTGTACAAGGACCATCTCATGTAGGACTATAGCCTCCCCTCAGTCATGCTTACATCCTCTGTCACTCCCACCACCTTGAATTCCAGTTCCATAGCTCATTAATTGGATGATTCTGAGTAGAAACTGACAGTCTCTGTCCAAACGTATGTCCATCATGTTTATTGTTAACATTAATAACACCAGCAAGTGCCACATATATTCAGCACACAAAACTGAGCAGAGAACTGGACTCAGGACCTGCCCAGAAGAATCAGGATCAGGATTAAATTACTAAAACACACACATGAGTCCAAAATAGTAATGCTCTCTGTAGGAAAAAAGAAAAAATTCCCTGATGAGGCAGAGATTTTTACGGGTTCTGTCAAGTTGAATTGCTCCTGCTTTGGAAATTGCTTGTATGAATTCCCTTTAAATATGGGAAAACAGGAAAAAATTGATAAGCACTACCAGAAATGTAGCAACAGTCAGACTTTCATCCATTTGTTATTTTCCTTGCCTTGAGTTCAACAATAATAGTGAAAAAAGATGTCATTTACCCAAAGGCATGACAGATGTTTTCATGTTAAGAGTTTCTTAGGCAGATTGCAGCCCAATTACATGGCCAGGACTTAGCTTTAAATCCCACCATTCAATCACTCCCTCCAGTTCCTCCTTCATTCTCTCTTTAGTTCTCAATTGTCCTTCTTACTTTTGAAAACTTCAAGATAATTTTGAGAACAGAAGATTCCTATCAAATTCTAGCATTTTCCTTTAATGTAATTAAAATCACTAGGGAATTACTCCCTATAGAAGCCTTTAGGACACAGGGTACACTAAACTTCAGGGGAGGAAAGTACACGGCAGATAAGCCTGTGGGCAACTGTAATCCTGGCTCCCTATGTGAAGTCCTGAGGAACCCAGGTCAGCTCTGGGACTGTGTTGGGACCCTATGCCAACTCTACTTATTATCACAATCTGTCAGCAGTTTGTAAATGAATCTTGCTGTTCACCTTTAATGGATATTCCTCCAAATACAAAGGACAATAGAATGTCCTGGTTTAAAAAAAAAGAAAGACTATTTAATAATCTTTAGATTGAACTTACACATAGAGCAACATGAAGAGTTAAAATTCTCTGCAACGCCTTTATAACAACGCTGAAAGATGTTTTTTATAAACTAGTTAATGACATTTTTTTGTTAAACAAATTTTAGCCAAGCTGACATTTCTATCTACAATTTCACTCCAGTATGGAAGAGACTACACTGAGCATTTTATTTTGAGTTTGGGGTTTGAGTATTTAAATTTCAGCCCAGCTAATCTTTGCTTTCACCTTTGATCACAGACTTCAACTTTCTCTTTCTTGATTCTGTTTAGGTTCCCAATTATTTGTGCGGATATGTACTGGTGAAGAGACATGGACTCCATTAATAGCAAAAGAAAATGAAATGCCAGAGATATTTGGAAAAAATGAGTTAATGAGCCTCAGTGTCTTAAGAAGTATCAAGTCACCCTTACTCTTATTCAGCTCCAGTCTCTCCGTTTTTTCATTTTACATTCAGAACGTGCCTAAGATTCTCTGCTTTCTTTATCTGACAGATTGGCTGTGAGGGTCAAGAGTGAAAGATTCATGTACACTGGAAACAGCCCAGCCAGCAATCTGATATTATTAATAAAACCTGCTCATTTGCCATAGAGTTCTGCTTCAAATTATTTTTTCCTTCAGCCTTTTTACAAACCACCCTTATTCTACTCATACCCCTGCCATTTCTTCTAGTACTTAAGTATTAAAAATAAGAAAGTTTATTGGATTTAAAAACAAGACTAAAAAAAAAAAAAAAAAAGACTAAACCCTGATGCATACCAAAGGCTTTCCTTCTATTGATATCTTCTTTTCTACCTCTTCACCCTTATAATACCTTTGTTCTTCCTAACTTGACAAGTACAGTGACCTCTTCTAATTGCCACCCTACAAACTTATTCTGAAATTTATTATTTCTTGGCTTTGGAAGTCGTTCTTCCACCACATCCTAGTGTTTAATGTGCCTGTCCTGCCATGGGCTGTGCTCCTCTATGCTGTTGTGAGAGTGACTCTGGTTGTCATCCTGCCCTACAAAGCTCTTATGAAAGGCATATTTCCTTGATGCTCATTTCCTCTCTGTGGCATTGTGGTGGAGGATGAGACATTATTTAGCCCACCAAACCTGACACTAACGAGCTTGCAGAAGTTTGTAGGAGCAATGAGGAAGGCTGATTCATCTGCATCCAGCCACCATCGATTACACTATTGAATAAGGGATACCACTGTCAACTACAAGGACTGATCAAATGCTTAATTAGGTCCCTAATGAGAACTGCTTAAAGGCAGCCTCTGAATGCTTATATTAATGAAGTTGCCATCCCAGCATGATGCCTGGAAGGGAGGTCACAAGTCCTTCTCACTTTTGAACTGCAGTGCTCTGTCCAAAATACAAGACAAATTGAAGATTAAAAAAAACAAAAACAAAACCCTAAACTGGGGCAGAGTTTGGTTCACCTATGTCTACAGACTCCTAGGAATAACTTTGTACCTTCACCTTGGGTGAGTCAGCAAATATCACCAGTCTCTATAAAACTGTAATGGAGAAATCTCCATAAAATATGTAAATGGATAAAAGTTCTAACTTATGGCATAGTCAGTTCAGTTCAGTTGCTCAGTCATGTCTGACTCTTTGTGACCCCATGAACTTTGTAGCACACCAGGCTTCCCTGTCAATCACCAACTCCCAGAGCTTGCTTAAATTCATCCACTGAGTCAGTGATGCCATCGAACTATCTCATCCTCTGTCATCCCATTCTCCTCCTGCTTTCAATCTTGCCCAGTATCAGGGTCTTTTCTAATGAAGCAGTTCTTTGCATCAGGTGGCCAAAGTATTGGAGTTTCAGCTTCAGCATAAGTCCTTCCAATGAACAGTCAGGACTGATTTCCTTTAGGATTGACTGGTTTGATCTCTTTGCAGTCCATGGTACTCTCAAGTCTTTTCCAACACCACAGTTCAAAAGCATCATTTCTTCGGCACTCATCTTTCAGTACTTTTCAGTGCTTTTACTACTATAGGGTAATATGAAGGATTAAATAAGACCACACATATACAAAATTTTGCATAGCATCTGAAACTTATTAAATCTTTATTATGGAATTTCATCTGTAGTAGATGCAGTTTATCCACAAAACACTTTAATATTTCACATCAATTTCACAGATGAGAGTACCAAGTATGAGATTAATATGAAAGGACTAATGATAGGCAACTGTCTATGAATGGTTCTAAGTGGAAGTGGGTCCCCATAGATCCAATTGACCCCAGTTTAATAAAATAGCCAATAATCACTTCATGGCAGATAGATGGGGGAAACAATGGAAACAGTGAGAGACTTCATTTTCTTGGGTTCCAAAATCACTGCAGATGGTGGCTGCCACCATGAAATTAAAAGACACTTGCTCCTTGGAAGAAAACTATGACCAACCTAAACAGCATATTCAAAAGCAGAGATGTTATTTATCCAACAAAGGTCTGTCTAGTCGAAGCTATGGTTTTTACAGCAATCATGTATTCATGTGAGACTTGGACAATTAACAAGGCTGAGGGCTGAGAAATTGATGCTTCTGAACTGTGGCATTGGAGAAGACTCTTTTTTTTTTATTAGTTGGAGGCTAATTACTTTACAATATTGTAGTGGGTTTTGTCATACATTGACATGAATCACCCATGGATTTACATGTGTTCCCCATCCCGATCCCCCCTCCCACCTCCCTCTCCGCCCGATCCCTCCGGGTCTTTCCAGTGCACCAGGCCCGATTTCTTAAAAAACTGGAAATAGAACTGCCATATGACCCAGCAATCCCCCTTCTGGGCATACACACCGAGGAAACCAGATCTGAAAGTGACATGTGCACCCCAATGTTCATTGCAGCACTGGAGAAGACTCTTGAGAGTCCCTTGGACTGCAAGCTCAAGCCAGTCAATGCTGAAGGAAATCAATCCCGAATATTCATTGGAAGGACTGATGCTGAAGCTGAAGTTCCAATACTTTGGACACCTGATGTGAAGAGCTGACTCATTAGAAAAGACTCAGATGTTGGGCAAGATTGAAGGCAGGAGGAGAATGGGACAACAGAGGATGAGATGGTTGGGTGGTATCACCAGCTCAATGGGCATGAGTTTGAGTAGGCTCTGGGAGATGGTGAAGGACAGGAAGGCCTGGCATGCTGCAGTCTATGGGGTAGCAAAGAGTCGGACAGGACTGAGTGACTGAACAGCAACAATATCCACTATACATAGAGCCCTCACAGTGGACCTCTAACCTAAACTTCACCTAACTTCCCCTCCCTTTTCCAGGTGTGACCTACATTTCTTGGTAACTTCAAGATAATCCTACTCTACCTTCCCCTTCAAAAGAAGACCTGAATGGCAACTTGAATGTGTTGGGGGGAAAGCTAGTTCAAATACAATACAGTCATATAATGTGGTTCAGATTCAAAAGCCTCTTACAATTCAGATACCAAGAGATATTGCTGAACTTTGGGAAACAGTGCCTCAGCCCGAGTTGTATATGAATGAAATCTATAGAGGCCTGAACCATTAGGGGCACAGCTGCTGAGCTGGTTATAATAGACCAGGATTCTACAGTGGAACCACACGGCATGAGAAGTAATGACAGTTGTAAAGAGACTGATTAGAGCACCTGTTTCTTCTACTACTTTGTCCTAAATGCTTTTGTACAACTCAATCTTCCAGAATGAACTTTTCTCATTAAGGTTAGGTAAGGGCTTTAGTAATCAACTGGAAATTTAAAGGCATAAAATTTTATGTTTATCCAATTTGGTGAGGCAGATCTACTAGACAAATGCTTTTTAGCTGATGTTTATATTTTCAGCTTTCATAAGCATAGGTAGATCCAATAACAATAGTAAAATGAAAGCATGAGAAAAATCTAACTGAAAAAACACCAACATTTACATAATATTAAAAAAAGAGCACCATGGTGAAACACAGTGTGTGGGTAGTATCTGCCTTCTTCACATCCAACTGTGGGACCCCTAAATCTCAAGCTCTGGACATTTGACCTTGTTTCTGGCATATTAACATTGCTAATCATGTGATGCCATTTTGAGAACATGGCTTTATTATGTAAACTTATACATTCTGTACAGATAAGGAAAATTGAAATGGAAAGTGAAAGAACTTTATTTTTTCAACAGTACTTGTTCTCCAAATGCATTTGAATTTATACTTTATTTATTTTTACTTTTGAATCTTGCTACAGAAAAATTTAAGGTGACTTCCTTTGGAATTATCTGTATTTGTATATAGGTTAAAATGGAGCTTCTTGATAGTTGAGGCCCAGTTCCCAATTGCAGGACCTTGAGTGTCATAAGGGAAATAAATACAAAAATGTATACTGAATAGGAAAAGAAAATGTGAAGGTGAAACAAAAAAGTAATCCCAGATCTGTAGGTGTTCAAAGCAAGAGTGGATCTCATTTATTTGGAGAGTTTGGCAAAAGTTCAATAGAGTAGCTTATGTTCAAAAAGGGCCTTAAAATAACTGGATCTGACCAGATAGAGAATGACTTTTTAGACAGAAGAAGCAGACTGGAAAGATGTGGAGAAGTGGATGTGTTCTGGGGAGATGGGAGTCCAGTTGAGTGGGAATATAAAGTGCACTTAGAGAAATAGAGATGAAACTGGAAAGGTTAGGTGAGTACAAATGAATGGAAGCCTCCTGAATGAGATACACCATTTGACAAGCAATAGAAACTGAAGCTTACCAACCAGGGAAAAGATCCGATCACAACTGCACTTAATAAAATTATGAATTCTGAGATGTTGAGTCAAGCACTCTGGAGGGAGACAGAAGCTGCCATTTTTTAGGAAAAGATTTTAAGGGGTTGAGTAAGGCAATGGGACTAAAAGGAAAGGGTGAGTGCAAGAATGAGGTAGAGGAATTTAGTGAATGTGAGAATCTAGAAGAGATAAGGGCAGAGTGAAAAAGACTGGATGATGGGGAGGACTTAAATAAAAATGTGAATGTGTTTTGTAAACCATACACATATGGCACAAACAAATGGCTGGTGGCATCATTAATAAACACTGGTGGACTTGACTTTAGTAAATCAGAAGGTGACCTTCCTCATGGGAAAGGTTATGTACATATTCCAGTGTCAGGTGTTAGTAAAACACTTATGTGGTAGTGTCCTTAAGGCAGATAAAAATGTGGTGCAGGTCTGGAGTTTCAAGGAGTACCAGGGACTACAGAGATATTTGGATAGTGACTGCAGACAAGTTGGGATAGAATTAGGAAAAGGAACTCTATCTCTGTGGGACATTGTGTAGAAAAAAGAAAAAATCCAAAAATGGTCTTTTGAGGTATGTAGACATTAATAGCATAGAAAGGATATAGAAAAATCTAAAATGATCATTTAGAGCAGGGGCCAGCAAATTTGTTCTGCAACTGACCAGAAATATTTTAGGAAATATTCTTGGCTCTGTTATTCATAAAGCCTTCTGTTACAACAACTGTCTGCCATTGTACTGTGAAATCAGCCACAGACACTAAACATACATGGCTATGTTCCAATAAACATTTACTTAAATAACAAGAGTGGGCTTCCATGGTTGCTCAGAGAGTA